AGTTTTTTTAGCTGCGTTTTTAAAACAGCACATTTCTGCTTTCATTATAAGATGATAGGCCTAGGGCTATCTCTAGGCTATCGGCTGCCCGCGTACTTGCTTACCTAAAATTGCCGGCACCAGATTAAAAATAAAATGCTCAATGATTAATAAAATTTTTAATACATACTCACTAAGTACTTTCATATGACAAATTGTATAAAAAGTAGTTACATATGACAAGTTCTTACAATGAATTTAAACCTCTGGCTGCTCATTCCGGGATTTCCACATGCAACTCAAATGTAGCAAAATCTGCTCATCCCGCGATTTCCGCGGGCATGTGTTTTTCTTCCTTTATTGAGGAGCGCATCCCGTTTTTCCCCCGTTTAGCCATCAAAATAAATTATATACAGTATTAGACGTTGTTATAAATTGATAGTTTGCGCCGTTAGGTGGGGCTCCGAATGTCTTGTCTCTGTTGATATTCTATTACTTGCTTTTAGTTTTGATGGAAGATCGAAGGTGTTAAGCCTAATAACGATGAAGGTGTTTGCCTAACAATAATGCTTGTAGCAATTGTATTATATTGTAAATAAAATGTGTCTATTAATAAGAAGACGGAATGATCACTTACCTCTGGAACTAATGCTCTTTGATAAGTAACCGGAATTAGTTACTACACATTTCTGATGCTAGATAACCCGGGATTCCGGTGAAAGAAGAAGAGAAAATGTGTAAAGTGAAAATTTTGCATGTGATAATGAATAAGCTTGATAAAAATATAAAGAAGCGCACAGCCCTAAGAACCGCAACAACAAGAATTATTAAAAAGTTAGAAACAGAACTAAATGTTATTACTCCGAATACTGAACTGATTGAAGAATTGTTTTCAGTGTTAACGGAGAAAGAACTCGATTTGTTAGAATTAAATAAATAAATAGAAGATGATATATCAGACGCGAATCATTTAGAAATGGACATAACGTCTACTGAAAATTACAAAGATGAACTTTCAAGTTACAAAACACGCGTAAATAGATATTTAAAACAGACACGGGAAAATAAAGTGGAGGATAATTCTACGCATTCTAACTCGACAACATCGGGTTTGAATTCTACTCATGTTAAACTTCCACTTTTAGTAATCGAAAAATTCGATGGCGAAATATCAAAATGGCCAAATTCCTGGTCACAATTTAAAACTACTGTTCATGATAGCGAATCGTTAAATGATGTAGAAAAGTTTAATTATTTAAAAACATATTTAACAGGTAATGCCGAAACTTCCATAGGAGGTCTATCATTGACTTCAGAAAATTATAAGAAGGCAATCGAGATATTAAAATCACGCTTTGGTAGAAAAGAATTACAGATAGACATTCGTATGTCTAGATGTTGGATTGTGCATTAGCACTTAAGGCGTAATGAGTAAGTTTCCTCAAGCACAGTTTTCATTAAAGAATCATAAGTCAAAAAATTAACTACGAAATCTTTATTTAATAAAATAGGAGATTTTTGCTTAACTTAAGCATAACAAAAAAAGTAATAATCTTCACAGACATTAAAACACTGAATTATCGAGAAGAATAACTTACATAGAATGATCATCAGTCCTAAATATCATCAGGCTTACTTATTTAGGCAATAAGAAAAAAAGAAACATACTTTGACACCGTACCTGAAAAGACAAAGTACTACTGAATTAGACCTTTGGCCGTGATACACTCTACGTAACTAAGGTGAAAGTCAAATATACTGCATTGCACACGAACTTTACTTTCTCTCTCCCCAATATATATCTTGGCGCACGTTCGTTTCGTATGCCTTTCGAGTTTCATTATGCAAAATACCTAAATTTATGCTAACACTAGCATAATTTATGCTCAATCTGACGCCATGTAAATACTCGAAAGACATAACGTCATTAATAAGAATTTGCGACCACGTTAACATCGAAATACAAGCGTTAGTGATCCTTGGCATTGAGCCAAATTCTTATGGAGCACTTCTTTTCCCCATTTTAATTAGAGCATTTCCAACTGATATAGCTTTAGAACTTAACCGACTGCATTTCGAAGAAAATACGAGTAAAATAACGGATTTATTAAACTTTTTAAAAAAAGAAATCGAATCTAGAGAACGTATATTTCTTTTAACTAAATCAATGGATAGCGATAATATTTATTCAAAAAATACAAATAAATATGTTCACGCAAATAAGCAAAATAAAGAAAAGTTCGTATCATACTAAAATAAAAATAAAAATCTAAGAAAACAGTCAACAGCTGCAGCATTAAACACATTTGTTGATAATTACGTTTTTTTGTGATAAGGTAACAGATCATTTATCAGACGATTGTAATAAATTTAACATAGCACAAAAGAAGGATATTCTGATACGAAATGGCAGATGTTTCTTTTGTTATAAGAAGTTCCATACTAAAAAATTATGTAGAGTTAAGGTTAAATGTAATGTATGTCATAAAAGGCAACAACACAGAAAGGGGTTATGTGAAAAGGCCTATCCAGTGGTAAATGATTCTTTATGTGAACAGGTTAATTCTATTAATAACTCTGAAACAGTATTGACGTCAGTAATGCCAGAAAAGAAAGAAATTACAAATGGCAAACAAATTGTTTTTCTACAGACATTTCGAGCCATTGTTCGTGGCACAGGAATGAAAACGAAAGTTCGTTGTTTACTTGATTCAGGAAGTCAACGAACATTTATTCATGAAAATTTATCGAAGAAATTAAATTCGCCAGTCGTAGGTAAAGAAAAAATAAATTTAGACACTTTTGGTAACTATGCGGCAGTGAACACTACAAAATGTAGGGTTAAATTCCAGTTATGTAATATCGAAAACGAAAAAAAAAAAAAAACATTTGACTATTGAAGCATTAGAATCCCCAGAAATTTGTAATGTTTTAATAGAAATTCCTAGCCAAGAACTGTATGACCAGATCCAATCGTTAAATATTAAATTATCTGATTATGAAGATGGTGAAGGTGAAAGTAATCATCATAAAATTGACATTCTAATTGGATCAGACTATTTTTGGGAAATAGTTTCTGGTAAAACAAAAGTTTAAGTTCATCGGTGATGTTAATAGATACATTGATGGGATGATAAATTCAAGGTCCAGTTACACATTCCTCTTTAAACATAAAACCATCATCCGTTGGAGTTTTAAACGCTGTTCTTATGAAGGATTTGGATGAGGATCAGTTAACGTCGTCTCAGTTAAAAGCATTTTGGGAATTAGAATTCCTAGGTATCCATAATGACTTAAAAGTGTCCACTTCGGATGAAGAAAGCTCTTCGAAGTTTCGAATAAAGTTTGACTTTTAAAGAAGGCCGTTATGAAGTACAACTTCCTTGGAAACATAACTTTGATAATTTGGAAAACAATTACGATAATGCTAAGAAAAGACTTATTTCTTTGGTTCGAATATTTTATAAGGATCCATTCTTGTATGCTGACTATAAATCTGTGATAGAAGAATACTGTAAGTTGGGAATCATAGAATCAGTAACTGAACAAAATGATACAGGTCAGAATCCGATATATTATTTACCACATCGAATAATTCGAAAGGATAAGAATACAACGAAGTTGAAGATTATTTTTGATGCTTCATCGCGTCCTCCTCAAGCTCCTTCGCTAAACGAATTGTTACATCCTGGATCAAACTTAAACCCAGATCTCTTAAAACTTATACTTAAATTTCGAATTAACCGAATCGCATTTATTGCTGATATTGAGAAGGCATTTCTGCAAATTAGTTTAATAGAGACTAATCGTAATGTTGTACGATTTCTGTGGATAGATGATTCATCATATAATGCATCTGATATCGAACCAAAAATTCTACGACTAGAGTCCTGTTTGTATTACTTCCAGTCCATTTCTTTTAGCTGCTGTAATTAAATTCCACTTGAAGCAGTATTCCACTATGTATCCAGATACTTGTTTGATGTTAAATGAATCGATGTACGTCAACGATTTGTTATAAGAGCTCCGAATGAAGAACAAGCTTCCAGAAGATTTAAAGAAGCAGACTACTTAATCAAAAAAAAAAGAATTAATTTATTTAAAGAAATTAATTTATTTAAAGAAGAATTTAAGAATTAATTTACTTAAAGAAGCAGACTACTTAATCAAAGAAGCAGGAATGAAACTTCGGAAATGGAAAAGTAATTCTGTAGACCTTGAAAACCTGTGGTGTGATTATGGATTTGAAACTATTAACATCAGACGATACAGATATTTCATCAAAGGTATTGGGAATGCTATGGGATACTCAAAAAGACGTTTTTAAATTTGACGTCAAAACCTATTAAATTTTGTTTTGAATTCTGATGTTACTAAACATACAATAATAAGAGGTGCGGGAAGAATATTTGACCCAGTGGGTTTGCTTTCCCCTTCACTATCAGGCTCAAAATAATTTTCCAAGAATTATGGGAACGAGGAATTCATTGGGATGAAGAATTACCTCAAGAATTAAAGGAAACCTGGAAGAACTGGTGCTCTGAAGTAGAACTCCTGAAGGAATTTTCAGTTGCATGGAAATACTTTCCGACTAATGTGGTGATAATTGCAGATATACTGCAGTTACACATATTTTGACGATGCCAGCCCTAGAGCTTACAATGCTGTAGCATATCTCAGATTTCAAGATGGAGAGAACATCAGCACTAGTTTTGTGACGCCTAAAACCAGAGTTTCTCCTCTAAAGAAACTGACACTACCGAGATTAGAATTAGCAGTGATTGCAGCCAGAATTGCCGATTATCTGAAAGATGTATTCAAAGTGAGCAATATTTTACTTTGGCCAGACTCTTCCATTACATTGCATTGGATAAAAGGAACGGTGAAGGATTGGAAACCATTTGTATCCAATAAGGATAGCTGAATTAAATAACTACACCGATCCTCAAAACTGGAATCATTGTAAGGGATCGGATAACCCAGCCGATATACTCACGAAAGGAAAAAGTGTTTCAAATTTAATGAAAGAAGTTAAGTGGTGGCAAGGTCCTCCATGTTTAATGCTACCAGATTGTTTATGGCCTCGAAGCAATTTAAGTGAAGTTAATTCTGAAGACTTGAATACTGAAAAGAAAAGTACAGTGCAGTTTGCATGTAATGTCGCATCAATACAAGAACCAGTTCTCGATATAGAAAAATACAGCAAATTGTCAAGATTGTATCGACTTGCAGCTTGGATAAAGCTCTTTATACATAATGCGAGAAAATTTGGTGAGAAGAAAGAAGGTCCCCTAGCAGCTTTAGAACTATCAGAAGCAGAAATTTATTGGGTAAAAACTATCCAAACAAAGTATTTTGAAGAAGAAAGAAATCAACTACTTAATGATCAGACAATAGCAAAGGTATCGAAACTTATTGAGTTCGATCCAAAATTAGATGGAAACAAACTGATATGCATAAAGGGAAGACTACAATTTTCAAAATCTGAAATGAAAGAAAAACACCCATGGTTAATTTCTGGAGGAAACACGTATGCAGAACACTTAATTATGGATGCGCACAATAAGGTACTACGTTCAGGAATAGAACTGGCACTGGCTGAACTACGGAGCAAATTTTGGATTCTCAGACGAAGGCATAACGTTAAATCTGTGCTCAATAAATGTTTAATATGCAGGCGATATAAGGTTCGCCCTGGAGTGCAAGTCATAGCTCCGCTTCCAGCAGATCGTGTTCAAGAATCTCCTCCATTCGATGTGATTGTCATTGACTTTGCTGGCCCGTTGTTTACAAGGGAAACAAAGAAAAGCACTGTATTTTATTATGTACGTGTGCAGTGTAAAATTTAAATCTGGGTCAGTGAAACGATCAATACAACTTTTGTATCCATTGGAACTTTCAGAATAGACTATATGCTGAAAAAATAATACATTTTGAACTTTAATATTTCATTTAGAATTTTATATTCTCATTATTATTAGAATTATTATTGTTTGTTATCTATTATTCTAGTATTTTCATTACATTTTTATTGATTGTAGTATTGATAATTAATTTTTATTGCAATTAATAATTAAGTATTGCATAATATTGATTTAGTTAGATTTAATTGATGAACTTGCAGTTCATGGGGGGCAGGATGTTATAAATTGATAGTTTTCGCCGTTAGGTGGCGCTCCGAACATCTCTGTTGATATTCTATTACTTGCTTTTAGTTTTGGTGGAAGATCGAAGGTGTTAAGCCTAATAAGGATGAAGGCGTTTGCCTAACAATAATTCTTGTAGCAATTGTATTATATTGTAAATAAAATGTGTGTATTAATAAGGAGACGGAATGATCACTTACCTCTGGAACTAATGCTCTCTGATAGTAACCGGAATTAGTTACTACAGACGTTTAGTTTACTTTTTGGCCAACAGATATCGTGTGTTGTCCACTAAATTGCGGCATTTTGAAGGCACGTGGTATTTATTACCCCTTAAACTTCACTTTTTGCCGCTTTTTTCTTACAAAAATGACTGCTAGAAAACATTCAGCGATTAGCTTGATTATTCAATTAAATTATTGAATTATATTAATTAAATTAATAATTAGATTGATCATTAATTAGATTTATTGAATCTGGTGCAAAGACTGTGAAATTGGAAAACATGTTTTGAACTCTATCATACTAAACTGCATTTCTAAGGTAGTTTTCCCTCAGTGCATTATATTTTCTTAAATTTTATACATTTTGCTCTTTTATATTATGCACTAAATAGAAATTAACTATAATTCGACTGAAATTTATTTTAAAATAGTTTTTTGGTGATAACATCTGAAATTGGTTTTCTGGCAACTTTAGTTTCTCATGATAAAAATCTATATAAAAAATTTTCTAGAAAGAAAAGTTCATTTTTCAATTCTCCAATATATATAGATTTAAAATATGAAAAAAAAATTTGAAGCGATTTGGGTTTACAAATTGAGCAATCAGGGGGTTGAAATATTTAGACCTGGTGTCGCCAGAGTCCGGCCGCCCGTACTTTAATGCGCTGCACCCCAACTAGTAACGGGCCGATGCTATTCGCACCAGCGGTGCGATTAGCCGCTTAAGCTATTCGCACCAACATTAACCCCGCATACGCATTGAGTTGTCAGATCCGCCATTTGAACCCAATCGAAAAGAACCGATTCTACGTACGCGAACTACCTAAGTGTTGTAGTGAATCCTTTTTTTTTAAAAGCCGGGTGAAGTGTCTGGTGTACAAATGTAGAAAAATAACACTTCTCTGACTTCTATGGAACCAATATTTTATTCCTTACGATGTTATAGATTCTTATTCATAAGATTTATTTATATTTTACATGCACGTAGCATCGCGTGACAAAAACTCGAAGTTTGTTTACTTCGTTCTTCGCGGAGACTAGAAGGTGTTGCCATTCCGCTTTAACTAAATTTCATTAGAAACTTAACGGAACTGAAGCGACACTACACACCCCTTCCTAGTGACAGCGATTATGGAACATAATCTTTAAAGTGACTGGAGAACTTGACATGTCTGCCGGTTCTAGTAGTCTTGGTTTCATGATGAGTTTCTGAATTTTCTTCAGTGTTCTTGAGTGCAGGTGTTTCCCCAAGTTCCGCTTTCTTGGAATGGGAGTTTTGGAAAGGAATATCATAATCTTGCACTAGGAAACATGGCTTTAGTCTGTCTATTGAAACTCTTTTTAACTTTTCCTTGGATTTCAATATCGAAAGTACTTATCCTTTCTTGCTCTTACAAGATACGGTCCAAGATAGACAGGCTGTAGCGAACGAATTATTAATGTTGTTGTATAGGAATACGTGAGAACAGTTGGAAAGATGTTTAGAAACAAAGACTGTTCTATTTCCATGGGTGGTGGTAGAACTTGGCTTCATAGCTCTTATTATTTTCTGAAGGTTTTGAGAAAATTCAGACTGTTTCATATGAGGTACTGTTGAAAAGAATTCTCCTGGTAATGCTAAAGGGGTTCCGTATACAAGTTCTGCGGATGAGTAACCTAGGTCTTCCTTGATGGCAGATCTTATGCCTAAAAGAACGAAAGGCAATGCTTCCAGCCATGATTTTGATTCGAGTAGATGACATTTGAGACTTGCTTTTAAAGTTCGGTGTTGTCTTTGAATCAGGCCATTTGCATGTGGATGGTACGTAGTTGTAGTGTTTGTATGGAAACCAAGATATTTTCCTAAAGCTTGAAAAAGTTGGCTATCAAATTGCCGACCTTGGTCAGATGTTATGCGATTCTGAATTCCAAAGCGTGAAAACCAAGTATAAATCAAAGCTTTAGCAATAGATTCTGCTGATTGAGCTTCTAACGGTACCGCTTCGATCCATCGTGTATAACGATCGATGATGGTTAGAAGATATTTTAATCCTTTGGAAGGAGGTAGCGGACCCACCAGATCTATGTTTAAATGCTGGAATCTGTGTGGAGAGGTACTTTGAATTCTCCCAAAGATGAATGTGTATGTCTGTGAACTTTAGATCTTTGGCAAGATAAACATGCTCTAGTCCATAGTTGGCAGTCTTTATTCATATTGGGCCATATGAAACGTCGTGTTATCAATTTTATCGTGGATCGTATTCCAGGATGAGATAAATTATGGATTGAAGAAAATATTTTCTGCCGAAACTTTGCAGGGATGTATGGTCGATTATAATTTGTAGAAGTATCACAGTAAATTTTCTTGTCGCTGTCCGGTATAGGGATATGTAGGATTTTTAAGTTTGGGTTGTTTTTTTAGTGTCTCCAAGTCGTCATCTTCTTGACAGTCTACTATAGTTTGTAAGTCTATTGCAGATGGTACAGAAATGGTGTCTATGCGAGAGAGAGAGCGTCAGCGACGGTATTTTCATGCCCTTGTATGAATCGGATATCGGTTGAGAACTGGCCTATATATGATAGTTGTCTAGCTTGTCGTGGCGAAGCTTTTTCCAAATTTTGTTGGAAGGCAAATGTTAGTGGTTTGTGATCCGTGTATATTGCAACGTTCGCCCTTCTAAGATGTATTTGAAATGTTTTACTGCTGTATAGATGGCTAAGAGTTCTCTGTCGTAGGCACTATATTTTTGTTGTGCTGATGTCAAACTTCGGGAAGAGAAACTTAAGGGTTGTTTTGCATTATTCACAATCTGATGTAAAACGGCTCCAATAGCAGTATCGGAAGCATCAGTTGTTAGCGATATTTCAGCCTTTTCGGATGGGTGAGTTAAGTTTGTGTCATGAATAAGTGCATCTTTTAAGATCTGGAAGGCGTTTCTTGTTTCTGCCGTCCAGGTTATTTCTTTTCTGCAGTTCTTTTTAATACCACTGAGCAATGTTGTTAAAGGTTGTTGCAATTTCGCACAATTTGGTATGAATCTGTGATAAAAAATCACCATACCTAAAAATCGTCTCAAACTAGTAAATGACTTTGGTTCTGGGAAATTTTTGATGGCACCAACTTTTGTTGAGAGAGGTTTAACCCTTTGCGACACGCATATTTAAAATATATTTTAATCTTTAAAAAAATGCCTTAGAATAAGTCAGATGGACTTACTTAAGTGTCTTTAAGGCTTGAAAAAATTCTGCGCTTTTATTTTTTACGGGGGAAGGTGGGATACCGTTTGTCCCACCATGCAACTAGCACATGTCTTATAGCATATTGGTGTATAGCAGGAAAAAAAATCATATGTGGAATGAATAAACAAAATAAAGCATGCATTCTAAAACATTCATAATAAACACACTAAAATGCATTTTGTACATATTGCATATATGCATGACTTGTAAAATTTTGCATATGCACATTTTGCATATATATTATATTTAATATTTTTAAATTTTAGGAACAAAAGAAAATATTTTCTTGAATATTATTTTAAGATTAAAATTTGATACACATACATATGATACTAAATAAAATATTGAAATTGGCACTTCATTCACAAACATTTATATATGATTAAAACTGAAAAAAAGTCATTTTTCATGAAACTTTGAAAAACATGTTTCATTCTTTTGTAAGCATAGAGGCACTTCACATGTTTCACACATCCAAAATGTTCGTCGTTCTTCTTTCAATGTGCTGCAATATGCACATCTTTTCCTGCTCGTTCTCTTTGGCGTGTGACTTATATTTTTTAGTCTCTTTTCTGGTTGTACGATCGGGTTTTTAGTTTTTATTTGAACTGGGGATTTTAGTTTTCTTTTCTGCTTTTTCTTGCCTGACCTTCTATAACTGAGAGAAGAAAATCTTTCATTGTGTTTACATCATGATCGGGTTCACGAACAAATGTAAAAAAAAAAAAAAAAAAAAAAAAAAAAATCATGTGCCACCATTTCTTGCTTTTGCGGTCTATTTCATGTAGTCCTTTCAGTTGATCAATCAGTCAACATATCCCATGTTCTTATTGTATGAAATAGTGCTGTTTGGGCATAGTACTTTTTTTGTCTTTCCATCTCGTTCTTTTCTATTAATTTCTTTCATTTCAGTTGCCTTTTCCAAGCAAGGACAGAAATGATAGAAACAGATCTTTTATCCTTCCATTTTATGCAATAAATTGAATCATCGCTAACTGAAAAGTCTATATATTCTCCTTGACATAAATTTGTCTTCTTTTAAGTTTTTGAGTAGATACTTCCGATTCATATTAACAGTGCCACATGCATAGATGGGTCTGTGTCTTTAAAAAGCGAAACAAATTATAGCTACTTCCCTTTTTTCTTCAGCATTAACTTCAACCTCAGTTATTCTCTCCTGGATTTCAATTTCATCTGAATCAGAACTGACATCTGAAGCATTTGAGTCGCAATCGGATGGCAATTCAGCAAAAAGATCCAAAGCTTCCTGAGTTGTTAATTTTTTTCTAGACATTTTAGCACATCAGAGCATACAACGGATGTAAAAGCGCGCGCAATCACGAAAAAAATAGAGGCAAAAAAGAAAAGAAAAAATAATCGTGAGTGCTGCCATCTATTGAGCGGAAATTCTAGTGTGTGGTGGGACAAATTTTAACCCACTTATTTCAACTGCAAAATTAATGTTATAAAATATTGAATCCAATTAAGATTTTTAGAAAATAAAATACCTTTGAATATTAAAAAAGAATCATACATATCCTAAATTGCATACCAAAAGTTTTAAAATATTGAAAAATGCGAGATACATGGATATCACTCTTGTGATCCTATTTTGAATATTTTTTGCTTAAAAACTGAAGCCCTGATATAGTAGTGACATCTAATGAGAAAAATAATAACTAAAATAGATTATTTTTAAAAGATTAGAAAATTTCTAATGGAAATTGCTAACTGAGAAAATAAATATAAATTAGGTGGGACATATATTGGCCCACCATGCCGCAAAGGGTTAAGTCCTTCAGCTGACACTTCGTATCCCAGGAATGCAGGAATGCAAGTTTTGTTTGACCAAATTTACACTTTGCCGCATTAATACACAGGCCATATTCGTTTAGTCTCTCAAGGACTGCTCGTAGATGTTTTTGGTGAGTTTCTTCATCTGGAGAGGCTATTAGAATGTCATCCAAATAGCAAAACACGAATTCTAGTCCATTCAACACACTGTTCATGAAACGTTGGAACGTTTGGGCCGCATTTCGTAGGCCGAACGTCATGAATGGGAACTCAAATAAGCCAAAGGGAGTGAGAATGGGCCGTTTTCAGTATATCTTCTTCGCGAACTGGAATTTGTTGGTACGGCCCTAATGAGGTCTATGGATGAGAAAACTTTTTTTCCAGCTAAAATGGAACTGCAATCTCTTAAAAATGGGAGAGGGTATCTATCAGGAATCGTAACGTTGTTTAACGCTCGATAGTTTCCACAAGGTCTCCAATCACCTGATTTCTTCATAGCGAGATGTAGTGGGCTCGACCAGTTACTTTTGGATGGCCTGCATAAACCCATTTGGAGCATAAATTCAAACTCCTTTTTAGCCGCTTTGAGTTTCTCAGCTGATAGTCTCCTGGCTTTAACGAAAACTGGTGGACCTCTGGTTTCGATATAATGTTCGATGTTATGATTTTTAACTTTATTATTAACTACATTCAGTTTTAACAAATCCGGAAAATCGTTAATGATACGTTTATATGGATCATTTACGGCATTTAAAATCGGAATATTATTATTGTTATTTTGAAAACAAGGAATTCCATTGGTTGTTAAGAATGTAGTACCATTAATCAACTTGCGATTTTTAGAATCTACCAAAAGGTTAAAATTTGCAAGAAAATCCATGCCTATTATCGGTTTGTTTACGTCCGCAGTTACAAAAGGCCATGTGAATGATCGTCTGAGTCCAAGATCAAGCTTGAGTAATTTTTGGCCATATGTTTTAATTTTCGAACCATTTGCAGCAAAGAGTTCTAATTTTGAGATGTTTTTTTTATTTGCAGGCAAGGGAGGAATGACAGAAATTTCTGCCCCAGTATCTATTAAAAATTGGGTAGCCGATTCTTTGTCGCTGATGAAAAGACGACTCAGCTGCACCCCTTGTCCCTCCGTCGTCAATGAGAGACGGGGAGCTGGTTTTCCGGACTATTTGTCTGTGATGTTGATGAGTAGTTGCAGGGTTGTTTACACTTAAATGACTTATCACCGAATTTTTTATGATAGTAACAAATATCACTAGATCTGTTACCACTGTAACTCCTATCTCGGGATTTGGATCGGTTACGACAATAGGGACGACTGTGGCTTTGCTTGTTTAAAGCAGAAACTTGTAAGCTAAGTTCACTAACCTTTTTTGTAAACTTTCAATCACTTCCGTTTTTACCGTTATGGATGATGCAGCAGCTATTTGGGGAGTAACAGGGTTTAATTCCCAAATCTTATCGGCCATTGTAGCCACTTTTGACAAATCTTCACTACTAACAGATATAATGCTACGCATATTAACGGGTAAACGTTGTAGCCACAATGTTTTTAGGAAAGTATCTGTTACTTTATCGCCAGCCAAATTACACATTTCACATAGCAATTGAGATGGCTTTTTGTCACCCAGTTCTAACTCACTCAGAAATTTTTGGATTTTTTGAGTCTCTGAATCAGCATATAATGAAATTAGTCTATTTTTAATTGCCTCATATTTATTATCTTGTGGTGGACTTAGCAAAATATCAGATACCTGTGACAAAATATCGGGTTCAATGGAACTTATAACATAATCATATTTTGTTTGATCTGCACTTATTTTTGCATTTCTAAATTGTGCTTCTAGTTGAATAAACCATATTTTAGGATCTGGCTTCCAAAAAGGAGGAACTTTAACGCTTACCTTGGCGACAGATGCAGTTGTTGCTTTAATTTCGGTTTCGTCTTCGTCAGCCATTGTAGAATTCGATCACGCCGGGATACACCAGTGAGGTGTCTGGTGTGCAAATGTAGAAAAATAACACTTCTCTGACTTCAATGGAACCAATATTTTATTCCTTACGATGTTATAGATTCTTATTCATAAGATTTATTTACATTTTACATGCACGTAGCATCACGTGACAAAAACTCGAAGTTTGTTTACTACGTTCTTCGCGGAGACTAGAAGGTGTTGCCATTCCGCTTTAACTAAATTTCATTAGAAATTTAACGGAACTGAAGCGACACTACACCGGGTTACTTACCTTGGTGTAAATTATCATTTTTTAAGCGTTGGGGACTTTCAAAAGTTTAGAAAGGAAAATGGGTGCCTTTTCTTATAAAAAGAAGGAATACATTTCCTTTTTATTAAAGTATATATAAAAAAGGGCAGATTTTTATGTTCGCAACGTTTATCGTTTTCCTGAACGGTTGGAATAGTTTAAATGACTGATTTGGGGTGGAGAAAATCTTGTTTACATTTTTTGTACTTCTTAGAATATATTTAGCTTCAAGGATGTGTTTTACACAATCAAGACTTAATAATTCATCCCTCTTTGAAAATTTTCGTCCGAGGAAAGGTAATAAAAATTAGACAAAGGATTTCTGTGTTGAAAATTTAGACATGAAATAAGTTAAAAGCGATTAAATCAACTATTAAAGGAATAATTAATCCTATAATACTGGTTATTAACAATTCTGTATGCCTGCTTATTTTTTTATGGAAATACTTGGCATTTTCAGGACACAAAAAGTACTTCAAAGAACTTTGAAATATTAGTACAAACACATCAATAAATTAAATTTAAATAAATAATGGGATGTAATTTAAAAGACAGAAATAATTTAATCTAAGAGATTTAGATTTAAAACATAATGCACACAAAAATGATTTATCAGATTTTATAAGGTTTTATTTCATAAATAACTTTGATTTTGAAATATGGCATTTGACCTATAAACATTTGTGGATACTGAACAAGTGATGAATATATAAGAATATTAGAATTTTCAGTAAGTTTTCTTATTGAATAAATATTCTGACAGTCCCACGCTATAAAATTAGGGTCTAAGTTTGCATAAAAATTCCTCTGTTAAATAAAAGAATTTAAGTAATTTCTGTAGCCTTTTTGTCAATACATTAAAGATTGTTTAACTAATTACACGTTCTCGCATGTAATTAGAACCATCATTAAATCCCTATTTTATCTAATCATTTCTTGAACATTATCATGTATATAGATTGACCGCGTCTATATAACTGATAATCATTACTTGCAATTTATTCTCTTGCTGGTGAACTATTAACAACCCTTTCTATTGCTGAGTTAACAAACTTCGCTCTGGCTACCGCCTGCCTTGCGGAAATCGGCGTAAAATGCTGGTACCTGGGGCTGATTGTGTGCATGCGCGAACGTAGGTGTGAATAGCCTGTTAGTTATTCGCACCGTCGGTGCGATTAGCCACTGCGCTAGGAACGGCCCTGGATAGAACATATGAACTTCTCCATTATTAAATATTGTTTTTTCGCACGTTAGAATGCATTCATGGTTAGATTACTTCATGCTTCTCTTTAATCTTCTTTATGTAATTTATACCCAGAAATACCTTTTGTTCTATATTGTCTACCTCATATTTTTTCTCCTTTTTTAACTCCTTTTAATAACTGTCTTTAAAAATTTCGAATCAAATGCTATGAAATTATATTTTTCTCTACAACATTGCCTTCGCCTTTCCTTCGCACCTAAGCTTGATCGATCTCTTTCTTAGCCCATCGGCTCTCTTTCCTTATAACTTAGCGTATGCTCTTTCTGAACCGTTTCATTTCTAATAACGAAGATTTGGAGGTTATTGCATTAATTTGCAGAGTACTCCATAACATAACTCCGTGGTCCTAAGCTTGATTTTTAGCCCTGCGGCAAAAAGACTTTAAAAAGTGCAAAACAAAACGTGTCTTTATTCTTCTCCGATTGCCCTTTAATTTTTGCAAAAAGCATATGTAATACAAATGTTATATTTTTGTATAAATAATCTATGGGGGAACAGAAGATGGTGTCTTGCTGAGTTCTGTGAATGCTTATTGCATATTATATGTGTTTTAGTCTTTCGAGCTTCTCGAAAACGCATTCATTAACAATCTACCAATTATTCATACTCGATGCTCAGCATGTACCAAAGAGTTATAGTGAAAATTTATTTCTGATTCTCTCGTCGTGAATTTTGCAACTATTTTCTGTGTAACTGCTCAAAAGTGAACATTTCATTTTGAACGGTACACATTTCATTTCTTTTTACTTTATGCATTTAGTGTTTTCACTTTATCGACGTTCCTGAAAATCGGCTTAGATTCTAACAATTTTGTGATAAGTTTTGAGTTTTGAGCTATAATTTAAATTATTGTATTTTATTGAAGAATGGCCCAAAATTCCAGTTCTGAAATTACTGATACAGAAATATCTCATCTGGAAAAGAATGTTAATAATTTGTTTTCGAGAGAAATTTTGCTTGATAAATATGTTGTAAATAGTTTTTACGACAGTCAGCATGATGTTTTGCTGAATATTGAAGACACGCAAGAGAGTGATATATGTGAGAGAGATGTTAATAATGTTAAAGCAAAAACTCTTTCTACCTCCGATTTTGTTAAACAGAAACCCTTTGTTTGTTTGCTTTGTGACAAAAGATTTGGGAGTAAAAGTGCACAGGCTAAGCACAATAAAAAGCAGCACACAGTGAGAAAGCTTCCTGAGTGTCTTATTTGTGGACGACATTTTGTTGAAAATTTTGTTTTGAAACAACATTATTTGACACATTCTGGAGAGAAACCTCATGAATGTGATGTGTGTAAGAGAGGTTTTAATAGTAAATACAATTTAAAAAGGCATTATATGTTACATTCAGAAGTAAAAACAAACTACACAGTAGAAAAGAAATTTGCTTGTGATTTGTGTGATAAAATGTTTTGTACAAAAAGTGCTCTTTATAGACATTGCCTGAATCATACAGGTGATAAACGTTATGCATGTGACATGTGTGGAAAATCTTTTCATCAGAAAAGTGATGTGAAACGCCATTACACATGTCATACTGGCGATAAGCCTTATGAATGCAAAAACTGTGATAAACGCTTTACTAAGAAAGATTCTCTTATGCGTCATTATAAACGTCATACGCATAAAGCTCATATGTGAATATTTAAGCCAATTTTTTATGGAAGATTTATTAGTTTATGTGCATTTTGCAAAAGATGTTATAGTCTTATTTAATAGAAATTTTTAAAGATATACATAAATTATTTTTATCAAGACTAATTAAATCGTATTTCCACGTTATACTTTCAAGAATAATGATTTTGTGAGTTTTAAGTTTGTTGATTTTCTTATAAGTTTAACATAAAATAAATAAATAAATAAAAAAAGAGGATTAAATCTTTAGTCATAATTGTCATATGTTTTAATGTGTAGTATTTTTAATGGGAATATAGTTTGAACATTTTTATTGTTTTTATTTTATGTGTAGGTCATAAATATTATGAAATTTAATATTCATCAGTTATGAGGTAGGGGTAATGTTTAGCATTCATCAGTATAGCAATGGTTTAATTGTTAATTAATTAGTTTAAATCAGGAGGAAAAATACAGATTTATTAATTTATGTAGAAAAGCAACATATTCATATAGAAATTAAAATCAGGCCTCACCGTCAAAAATAATACCTTACATTACCATACATTTTATTTAAAATTATTTTGATTTCAAAGATTGGTCATCCATAATTGGCGCTAAGTCACACTAATTGACCAGTTGACAAGATAATACGTAAATACCCCCCCCCTTTTTTTTTCAAATATTTGAAAACTTCCTTTAGTTCTTGAAGAAGAGGCATGCATGTTAGTTGATAGAGTATTAAGGTTTGATTTTTATTTTTTGTTGAGCATTTAAATTTTTGCACTTTTAACTATCAAATGGAAACGGGCATTTTTTTGTCCTGACACAATCTGCAGGTCCTAAATTCTGCTGCCTGGTGCTTCCCTAAATTAAAAAAAAAGTATTATCACCTTTAAACTCTACTGCCCAGTGCCTCTTCTAAATTCTAAACATTTCTGCTCAGTGTTTCTCTAAATTAAAAAAAAAAAAAAAAAAATTACAGCATTAAATTCTGCTGCCTGGTATGGACATGCTACTTGTACTGGCCCTGACTAGAAACCATGTAATATGATCAAATTAAAATACTATTTGTATCTTATACAAGTGCCTGCATTTAAATGTAGAATAAAATACAGGGGTTGGACAAAAATATGGAAACGCTTTTAAAAGAACATGTTTCTTTGCTTAATATGGTGTAGGAAACCCGTCGGCATCCAAAACAGCTTGCAGTCTTCTCAGAATGGATAAATACAGTTCCTGTATGTTTGCCAAGGGAATATTACACCATTCTTCCTGCAAAACGGTGGCAAGTTCAGATAACGATGTTGGCGGTGGATAACGAGAACGCACTTTCCGTTCCAATGTAGACCACAAAGGTTCAATAATATTCAGGTCTGGTGATTGTGGTGGCCAGGGAAGATGGGACAACTCATCCTCGTGCTCAGAAAACCAGTCCTGGACAATGTGAGCTGTGTGAACAGGGGCTTTGTCGTCTTGGAAGACACGATTATCATCGGGGAACAAAGTTTGTACCATGGGATGAACTTGATCGGCCAAAATGTTCACATAAGTCTTGGCAGTCATGTGCCCTGACACAGTTATCATGGGGCTAGCAGAGAACCACGATATGGCTGCCCAAACCATAAAAGAACCCCCGCCATGTTTTACTCTTGGCAACAAGCAGTCTGTATTATAGGCTTGAGATAGTTCTCCAGTCTGTATTATAGTTCTCCAGACGTAAACTCGGCCAGAAGTGGGAAACAATGTGAAAGCAGACTCGTCAGACCATATTACTCGCTTCCACTGCTCTTTAGTCCAGGCTTTATGACTTAAACACCACCTTTTCCTGTTACGGGCATTAGCACCACTGATGAGTGGCTTCTCAATTGCAGCACGGCCAGCGATTCCCTGTTTATGAAGCTCCCTTCTAATTGTTTTGGTACTCACAGGGTTCGGTAACACAACATTCATTTCAGCAGTAACTTTTGCAGCTGTGGTCTTCTTATTTTCGTCACAATTGCCTATAATGATCGTCTGTCACGATCACTCAGGACACACTTTCGTCCGCGCTGTGATTTAGCAGATGATGTTTTTCCGCTTTTCAAATATGCGGAATAAATCTTCGATACAGTACCTCTTGAAACACTAAACACCTCGGCTACCTTGCTTACGGAAGCACCTACCATACGTGCTCCAACAATTTGCCCACGTTCGAAGTCTGTTAACTCTGACATAATGCAATGACAACCTCACATAACAGTACTCCGACAACAACTGAAGTGTTTAGCACATTTACGAAGTTGTATAGGTGGCGTCAGTAGCCAAAAACGCCAGCGCCACCTACATATTTCATTAAAATCAATTTTTCTTTTCAAACATGCATTTCACAAGGTGTTTCCATATTTTTGTCCATCCACTGTATATAGAATAGAAGAATAGAATTTTTGGTACTTTTCCAGTTCGCCGGCACAAATCTAGCCAAGCAGACTTTGTTGGCGACAGCATACAGTATGCACATAAAAAAGTTTAGTTCTAAGAATTTTTTATTTTGAAGGCATAAACATATTAATATGATTTAAAATTTTGTAAAAAAGCCAATAAATAAAGACAATAAATTTGTAAAAAGACATTAATTTAAGAATTTTCTATGCTTTCATGGTTCAACATCCTGATTCGCCAGTTTGTATCACGTGACTCAAAGTGATCTCATCTCATATAAACTGCGCTACAAGAATATAATTCTCTCCGTAATTATCTACATTAATTTCAAGTTAAATCTTTATTTGGAATACAAGTTTAAATGCAAGAATTATTTCAATTCGTACGAATAGCTTACTCAGAAATTATGTAAAACTGCAGTGCTTTACTTCGCTAGTGCATTGTCATTAGAATTGATGAATTTAACCCTTAATTTTGCATTTCCTATATTTTTGCCTTCGGGTGAGTGGTGTGATTGCATCCAAATTGACTTAATCACTGCAAATGGTCTTAGTATATAAAATTTAACTATCTTTTGTAAAAATTCTATGTAATTGTATACAGTACAAAGTCTGTAATCCGGACTCGTCGGGACTTCAGCGATTCTGGATTAAGGGTTTTTCTTTAAATCTGGTAAGATGGCATGCAGAATTTGTACAATTAAAAATATGAAACCTTAATTTATGAAATAAAGAGCAATTTTAATCTAAAGGGTATCAAAATTTGGAAAAAAAAAAAAAAAAAAAAAAAAAAAAAAAAAAAAAAGCTTAATATTTATTTGTTTATTTTATTAAACATTTCTTTCAATGTAAGTTGTTTAACTTGCTTCGTTTTTTGTACTAAACATGCATGCGTAAACACATTATGTGCATGCGTAAAGCATACAAAAAACAAGTTTGTGGCTGTGAGGTATGGATTATAGATCATTCCGGATAATGGACATCCGGATTACTGTACCAGTATTGAAAGAAACAATCAATCTGATAAGAAATGGCTGCGACTTGTTTTGAAAATGGTGTATTGAAAATTGAGAATACGGCAAAGCACACTAGGTCTATCTGCCTAAGGGGAAGGATGCCTTCGTGGAGGACTTTCTAAGGGAAACTGGCTAGTATACATATTGCACATGGGGAAAACCACGAAAACGCCCATGCAGCCAGCCCATTTGCGGGATTCGAACCTCGGACCGAACTACCAGTGTTCAGTGATTTTACCGCTCGGCCGCTGGTGGGCCCATTATGAAAATGATGCGTAAAAGATTACCAGCGAAGATATTCCGTTTGGCATCAGTTGTACCATTACTGATGACTTTATCGTTTGCTCCAGCAAAACGGAAAAGTACCGAATTTTTCAACAAATTAAATTTTTACTCCTTTCCTCCTATAAGTAACATTTTTATGAAATATATTGATTGGCATTGTTTTATGTAATACTCATACTGTTAGTCAGAAATTTTATATTAGAAAATATGTTACAATCATTTCTTCTAAATAATACATATGTATTATCATTATATCATACTAATTATTGCATTATAATGAGACATGATTTTACATATCATTACATCAGAAAAATGACAGTTACCAATAAGTAAGTTTTCAGGAAATCTAATAACCAGATATAATTATGTATAAATATAGTTATAAAATTATTTTAAAAGCAGTTGATGGGTGTATGAAGGTATGTGATTGCTAGGCTGTTTTGATTATTTTAAAAACAATATTCTCTATGTATAGCAGTGGTTCTCGTACCTGTTTTTCCTAAGACATCATTCCTCCTTTCCAAAACTAAAAAAATGCTTATATTTATTTATATTTATATTATATTATAATATCTTTTTATAATCGAAAATGTTGATAAGTACCAAAACTTGAATAAAAGTAGTTTTTTATTCATAAACTAAAACTAAATGTTTAAAAGCTTAATAAAAAGCTGATTGCATAATCACATTTCCCTCCTGTAACTGTTCCTCCCCCCTCCTCCTGCTGAGAATCCGTCCTCTAAAAGATGCTGTCAACATATATCCCCTAATTTGCAGTTATGGTATTTTTCTTTCAAAACATTAAGAATTTTTTTTAAAATTTGTATAAGCTCATAAAATTGGTAAATGAAATGTCTTTGTATTGAATACGAAATTTCTTCATTTCCCCTTTGCCATCTAAAAGGTTACCTCTTCTGTTATTTAATAAAACATTTGTACAGATTTCCATAATGCTTTGTTCAAAGAAATATTACAAATATTTTCAACAAATAAATGCAAAATATGCAATTATTTAATATGTTTTACCAAAACTCATTATCTTGTATTTGATAGCTTACAATTTTCAATTTAGGTTAATGTTTAATAGCTTTTTTTGTTATGCTCATAATATTTTAACAGTGCCTTCAAAGCACCAAAAATTATATATTGTTATCAAGAGTGACGTTAGCTTTTTTCCTGCTGCATGCAATTTCTACAACTTCTTTATTTTACTGTTCAATCCTAAATTCTAAATATTTTACCATCTGCAGTGACTGCACTGGATCTGGCACCAGGCATGAGGTTATAGGGCAACAGCCATCTAGCT